AAATTATATTGTTTAACTGGTATTGCACCACCTGACCTCCATTGGGAAGTAGCAGCCAATAATGAAAGGACTAAAGCAGTGACATCTCTGGCCCATCCTCTATTCGGATATCAGCCAGCATGCCAATGCCTTAAATCAAGAAATAGCTTCCTAAGAACTACAGAGATAATCACAGGAACACCTCAGCAAGCGAGAGTCCAAAAGTGGCAGGCTAAAACCCAGAACCTCAATCCATGGCTGATACCAGATGAGAGACGCCCTCCTGGGCACACAGAAGATTGGGCGACATGGAAGGCGCTGAACAGACTGTGCTCTGGCACCACGAGATGCAGAGCCAATCTTCAGAAATGGGGCTACAAAGTGAAGTCCACAACATGTAAGTGTGGAAAAGAGTAAACCACAGACCACCTATTACAATGCAGTCTGAGCCCTGCCACATACACAATGGAGGACCTTCTTACGGTGACACCAGAGGGATGCCAAGTGGGTGTAAAGGAACATTTAGTATAATGCCAAGTTTTTAATTTTGTGGGTGTTTTTAAATACATGACAACTGTACCCACAATTCGCTTCTGACATAAATAAATAGTGTTTTTCCCTTTGGGAAAATAATGGGTTTTGGCCCATTTTCACTCCTCTTTTCTTGCTAAGCCACACTTCCTGCCTAGACATCATTGGTGCTGCCCGCACAAGCGCTGCCTACAGATACTCCTGGCCCCTCCACCTGCTGCTTCCAAGGGCCTTTGGCTCTGCCTCTGCAGTACTTCTAACCTCTGCCAGCCAAAAGAGTGAGCATTAATTATAGATAACTGCTAATTGCCAGTGTGTGAACGTTGCTCCCTAGACTCGACAGCCTTTATCTAACTTCTTGTGTAAGTGGCCATGTCTAATGCCCAGCAGTGACAAAGCACTTCCGTGACTTCAGTCCCAGTTCTGGAGGGTCCCTGAAGATGGAGATATGTGGGGTGGGGAGAAGCTTCTTTCGCTCTACACATGGACAAACAACATACGGGATAGTGGACATATGACTGGTGTGTTATTTTCCCATCTTGGCCCATTTGGGTGATCATGGGTACTATTTTACAGTCTCCATTTGAATAATTCTCTTTATTATCATCATAGGCTATCACTTGTGGCTGAGTAAGGTTGTCTTCCAAAAGAAGAGTCTTAGTGGTGGGTCTGCAAATGACTGTAGAGACCTATTCTAAATCTGCATGGTCTTTTGCAGTGAGGACATACATTCCTGATGGAACATCAAGCAAAGACGGTCCCAACAAGGGTTTTCTTGATGTTCCTTCCTCTTGCCATGTTTCTCTTTTTCTCTCTATTTGTACCCCTTTAAAAAGTTGTGCAGTTCAAGGTAGCAAAGGTTTTCCCCTGACATCAAGTCCAGTCATGTCCAACTTTGGGGGTTGGTGCTCATCTCAATTTCTAAGCCGAAAGGCCGGTGTTGTCTCTAGACACCTCCAAGGTCATGTGGCCGGCATGACGGGATAAAGCGCTGTTACCTTCCTGCTGGAGCGGTACCTACTCACATTTGCATGTTTTGAAGTGCTAGGTTGGCAGAAGCTGGGGGTGACAGCGAGAGCTCATGCTGCTCCCCGGATTTGAACCTGTGACCTTTCAGTTAGCAAGTTTAGCAGCTCAGCGGTTTAACCCACTGCGCCACCGGGGGCTCAAAGTCAGTTCAAAGACTCAAAGATAAATAAACTATAAGAGAGATGGGGCCTTGAAGTTGCACATTGGGACAGGTATCCATATCCTACCTTGAGTACTGCGTCAGTGAGAACATAGTAGGCTTAGAGGTTCCTCCCAGAACCATTCTTTGCCCAAAAGTAAACACAAAAACTTATAACTGTTACTTTGGGATTTTTGTTTCTAACAGCCGGTTGTGGTTGCTCTTCAGAGAATGGGCTAGGAGGCTAAAATGAATTAAAATGTGTTGTCTTTGAAAGGAAATGCAGGCTTCATCTCACAGCGTGACAGATGTTGACTTAAGCCAGACTGAATGGCTGTTCCATTAATCGTGTTACCATCACAAGCAGCAGGAATGAATTCCATATTGTGCCACAATTGAATTATTTCCCTGTTGTGATACCTAGCAGTGATCACAGTGGGATGTACAGGCAACCTATTCAGCGGATGATTTGTGATCAAGGTCACCGGCATTAGGGAATTTTCTTCCAACCTGTTCCCTTGTAGGAAACTGGCCTTTTAAACAGATGGACAGCCAGGGATCCATCTGTTTTTGGACGCTCCATCTTATATCTGCTATTCCTTGGTTTTTGTCTATCAAATCCTTTTGAATGTGTGTATTCCCTTAAGAGCATTGTAACTGAGCTGCGACATTATCTAAGGTCTATTGAAAACCAGCAGCTCTGTAATATGGGTGTAATATTTATTTATTATTTATTTCATCCATTTATATCCCATCCTTCTCACCCCTCCAGAGGGGCTCAGGGAGGCCTCACAACTGGCAAACAGATGCCCAAATACAATTATAATAACAGTTTACATATAAACAAATAATTAAAAGGGCTGTTGTAGGTTTTTCGGGCTGTATGGCCATGTTCTAGAAGCATTCTCTCTTGATGTTTTGCCTGCATCTGTGGCCTGCATCTGTGGCAAGCATCCTCAGAGGTTGCTTGCCACAGACGCCGATGAAACATCAGGAGATAATGCTTCCAGAACATGGCCATACATCCCGAAAACCCTACAACAACCCAGTGATTCTGGCCATGAAAGCCTTCAACAATAAATAATTAAAATATAAAATATAAAAACATCCAATTAAAATTACGCAACTTGTAGCTTGTTCCATCTGTTGTACATAATGCTATCAGGCTCTTTATTTGTTGATGTGTACCTTCAAGTTGTTTCTGACTTCTTGTGTCCCCAATGTGACTCTAAAATGGCCTGTTCTTTGTAAGGTTTGTTCAGATGGGGGTTGCCTTTGCCTTCCTCTTAGACTGAGAGAGTGTGACTTGCCCAAGGTTAGCCAGTGGGTTTCCATGGCTGAACAGGAAATCGAAAACTGGTCTCCAAATTCATAGTCCAACACTCAAATTACTACACCAAGCTGTTTCTAATTTATTTATGCCTCTCTCCAAAAAAACAGCTGCATAGAAATTCAAAAGCAATAAAAGCATTCCTTCAGAAAGATTTGGATTTGAAGGCAATCTTCATTTCTGTGCTTTGATTTGCTTGAAGTGTAGGGATACACAAGATGCGGATCATCTAATTAAAATTCCTGGATTTCTCCATTGTAGTCTATAGGCAGCTGCCATAGTTGCCTATTTAGAGAGAGGCAAATCTACAAAACCCTAAAACCCAGCCTGGAGACAAAAAAAGTCAGTCTAGAATCTTGTTGTATTCTATAACTCAAAGTAAGCCCGACATATGCTCATCTAGCCTCTGCTTGAAAACCTCCAGAGAAGTCACACAGGCCCCTTCTACACTGCCATATAAAATCCAGATTATCTGCTTTGCACTGGATTATATGGTAGAGTAGACTCATATCCCAGTTCAAAGCAGATAATGTGGAATAGCTCCTTTGATAATCTGGATTGTTTCACAGTGTAGAAGGGGCTCTTCCAGACAGCCCAATGTCCCAGGATATGATCCCAAATTTTCTGCTTTAAACTGGATTGTATAAGGTCCCTTCCACACTGACCTATATCCCAGAATATCAAGGCAGAGAATCCCACATTATCTGAGTGTGGACTCAGATATCCCAGTCCAAAGCAGATATTGTGGGATTTTCTGCCTTGATATTCTGGGATATAGGGCTGTGGAAGGGCCCTGAGTCCGCACTACCAGAAAACTTGGGATAAACAGAAAACCAGGGATTAGATCTTGGGATCATAGAATCATAGAATCAAAGAGTTGGAAGAGACCTCCTGGGCCATCCAGTCCAACCCCCTGCCAAGAAGCAGGAATATTGCATTCAAATCACACCTGGCAGATGGCCATCCAGCCTCTGTTTAAAGGCTTCCAAAGAAGGAGCCTCCACCACACTCCGAGGCAGAGAGTTCCACTGCTGAATGGCTCTCACAGTCAGGAAGTTCTTCCTCATGTTCCAATGGAATCTCCTTTCTTGTAGTTTGAAGCCATTGTTCCGTGTCCTAGTCTCCAGGGAAGCAGAAAACAAGCTTGCTCCCTCCTCCCTGTGGCTTCCCCTCACATATTTACACATGGCTATCATATCTCCTCTCAGCCTTCTCTTCTTCAGGCTAAACATGCCCAGCTCCTTAAGCCGCTCCTCATAGGGCTTGTTCTCCAGACCCTTGACCATTTTAGGAATACATGGTCTCATATAATGCAGTTCAAAGTTGATATTGTGGGTTTTATGGCTGTGTGGAAGGACCTCCAGAATGTCAAGGCAGAAAATCCCACATTATCTGCTTTGAACAGGAATGTATGGCAGTGTGGACTCAGATAACCCAGTTCAAAGCACATTTTGTGGGATTTTCTGCCTTGACATTCTGGGGGTCCTTTCACACAGCCATATAATCCACAATATCTGCTTTGAACTGGGTTATCTGAGTCCACACGGCCATGTATTCCAGTTCAAAGCAGATAATATGGGAATTTAATCTGTTGTGTGGAAGGGGCCTCAAAGGGGTGACTGCTGTTGGAAATCTAAACCCATGTGGGAAAGAGGCACAACATGACAGAGAGCCCACACTTCCGGTTTATGGTGACACCTCGCCTTGATTCTCAAGCACCCTTTCAATTGAGGCTCCTACCACACAGCTGAATAAAATCCCACATTTTCTGCTTTGAACTGGGATATATAGCAGTGTGGACTCAGATATATTCAAAGCAGATATTGTGGGATTTTCTGCCTTGATATTCTGGGTTATAGGGCTGCGTGGAAGGGACCTGAGTTCGTTTTGTTACCGGAAGTGTTGATACCAAGCTGGGAGAAGGGAAACACTGGTCTCTTTAACGGGCGAAGAAGGGCGAAGGCAATGAGTTTGTCCGCAGCGGGCGCCCGTACGCAGAAGGGCGGGGCGACGCGAGGCAGTCGGGAGAGCGGAGGCGAGGCTGGCGTTGCTAAGCGGGAGGGAGCAGGAAGCGGAGAGGCCATGTTCCGCATCGAGGGCCTGGGCCCCAAACTGGACCCGGAGGAGATGAAGCGGAAGATGCGCGAGGACGTCCTCTCCTCGGTCCGCACCTTCCTGCTCTACGTGGCCCTGCTGCGCATCAGTGAGTGCCTCCGGCCGGCCTGCTTTCCTTCCACGTGGAGCGAGCAGGCCTCGTGGGAAGGGAAGGGCAGGCCTCCCTCTAGTCAGGGAAGAGAGCCCCTTATTATACACGTCGCCTATTAACGTAGTTCATCGGGGCGGGAATCCTGATGGATAGGGCCGCAGCGAACCAGCTAGGCCACACTACAAATTATTATTATTATTAAACTTTATTTGTACCCCGCTAGCATCTCCCGCAGGAGCCCCCAGTGGCGCAGTGGGTTAAAGCACTGAGCTGCTGAGCTTGTTGATCGAAAGGTCGCAGGTTTGATCCCGGGGAGCGGCGTGAACTTCCGCTGTTAGCCCTAGCTTCTGCCAACCTAGCAGTTCGAAAACATGCAAATGTGAGTAGATCAATAGGTACCGCTCCGGCGGGAAGGTAACGGCGCTCCATGCAGTCATGCCGGCCACATGACCTTGGAGGTGTCTACGGACAACGCTGGCTCTTCGGCTTAGAAATGGAGATGAGCACCACACCCCAGAGTCAGACATGACTGGACTTAATGTCAGGGGACTACCTTTACCTTTACCTAGCATCTCCCGCAGGACTCGATGCGGCTTACAAAGGCCAAGGCCTCAACACACAATACAACAATACCAAACCTAGGCAAATTAAAAACAATTAAAGCAATCTAAAACAACAAGCAATGAACAATCTACTAAGACACAATAAAATTGGGCCGGGCCAGAGTAAGGGTTGTTGTTGTTCATTCGTTCAGTCGTCTCCAACTCTTCGTGACCTCATGGACCAGCCCACGCCATAGCTCCCTGTCGGCCGTCACCACCCCCAGCTCCTTCAAGGTCAGTCCAGTCACTTCAAGGATTTATTTATTTATTTGTCGTGTCAGAGCAACCAGTCCATTATATTACATTTCTAACAGAACAAAGCAAACAAACAGAAAAATACACAACTTGTGAGTTTGGTAGGATGCCAAGGATGCCATCCATCCATCTTGCCCTTGGTCGGCCCCTCTTCCTTTTGCCTTCCACTTTCCCCAGCATAATTGTCTTCTCCAGGCTTTGCTGTCTCCTCATGATGTGGCCAAAGTACTTCAACTTTGTCTCTAGTATCCTTCCCTCCAATGAGCAGTTGGGCTTTATTTCCTGGAGGATGGACTGGTTGGATCTTCTCGCAGTCCAAGGCACTCTCAGAACTTTCCTCCAACACCACAGCTCAAAAGCATTGATCTTCCTTCGCTCAGCCTTCCCTAAGGTCCAGCTCTCACATCCGTAGGTTACTACAGGGAGTACCATGGCTTTGACTAGGCGGATCTTTGTTGCCAGTCTGATGTCTCTACTCTTTACTATTTTATTGAGATTGGACATTGCTCTCCTCCCAAGAAGTGCAATGTCCAATCTCGAAAAAAATAGTAAAGAGTAGGGTACAAGAGTTAAAAGTGCTGATGTGACGGGTGGAATATGAGGCTTGTGGGCAAGTGCGGTGTGCGGTGTGCGGCAGTCTTAGCTTTAATAAAGTGCTTTATATTGGAGGTTTTCTATTCGGGAAAGGCACATCGGAACAGCCAGGTCTTCAAGTTCTTTCTGGAGACTGCCAATGTAGGGGCCTGTCTAAGATCTTTGGGGAGGGTGTTCCAGAGTCGGGGGGCCACCACAGAAAAGGCGCTGTCCCATGTCCCCACCAAACGCCCTTGCGACGCAGGCAGGATCACGAGCAGGGCCTCTCCAGATGAGCGAAGTGAACGCGTGGGTTCGTAAACGGAGATGCGGTCACGCAGGTAGGATGGTCCCAAACCGTTCAGGGCTTTGTAGGTAAGCATCTGCACCTTAAATTCGGCTCAGAAAATAAACAGCAGCCAGTGGAGCTCCTTGAACAGAAGGGTTGACCTCTCTCTGTAAGGAGCACCAGTTAACATCCTGGCTGCTGCCCTTTGGACCAGTTGAAATTTCCGAGCCGTTTTCAAGGGCCCACGTAGAGCGCATTGCAGTAATCCAATCTAGAGGTGACCAAGGCATGGACCACCCTGGCCAGATCAGCCTTCACGAGGTACGGTCGCAGTTGGCGCACAAGTCTTAATTGTGCGAAAGCCTTCCCAGACACCACTGACGCCTGAGCCTCAAGCGTGAGCGATGAATCCAGGAGGACTCCCAAACTGCGGACCTGTGGTTTCAGGGGGAGTGTAACCCCGTCCAGCACAGGTTGCCACCCTATACCCCAGTCAGGTTTGCAATTGACCAGAAGGACCTCTGTCTTGTCAGGATTGATCTTCAGCTTATTCCTCCTCATCCAGATAGACACAGCGGCCAGGCACTCGTCCAGCACCCGAGAGGCCTCCTTGGAATTGGGTGGAAATGAGTAGTAGAGTTGTGTGTCATCTGCATAGAGGTGACACCTAACTCCAAAACTCCAGATGACCTCTCCCAGCGGTTTCATGTAGATATTAAAAAGCATGGGAGACAGGTCATTTTATAAGAATTGCAGAAGCACACTGGGCATGAGTAAGTTACATGAAATTAAAAGTTCTGGAATTCACAGTTGCCTTATTGCCACTGTATGGCATGCATAGGCAGATAGTATTATTGACTAATATTAGCTCTTCAGAAAACCAAGCTCCATTTTGGGACTAGCTAGAATTGATACTTGTTACTTGTTTCTCTATTTCCTTCTCACACTTGTTTTCTTTTGTGGTGTATCGTTCTCCAGTAGCACCTACAAAGAAGGAACAGTGTACAAAATAATGTTGTAATCCTTTAGGCACTTATTTGTGCATAAGTCCCATTAAAGTTGGAAAGGCATAAATGGGATCACACTTTTGGAATCCTTGCTATTTGAAAGAATTTTGATTTAAATAGAGAAGATATAGATAAAATAGGGACTTGTATTTGGAGAAAGGGAATATGGATTTGAAGGGTAAGATTCAAAAGGTGAGACTGAAATAATTCTCCAGTGACTAATAGTATGTAGATAGGGATAATTGACTTTTGGGGGAAGTGAAAGAGGCAGCTGTAAGATGTTTAACATTACCATGTGGAGTTTAGGGGAAAATCTAATCGTGAGAATGATTAATCTTTCTCAATAACGGGAAAATAAATAAATCTATTCACAGATTAAGCCATTTATGTTGAAGGGGTTTGGGGAAAAGATTCTGAATGCAGCTCCTGGTTTAAGTTTTTCATTTGCTTTACTGATGATAAATATATAGAATTTATTGTTATAATAGTGAAGTGACAAAGATCTATTTCTTCCATAAGCTCCATACATTTTAAAGAAGCTGGACAGCATATGAGAACACAGGAGATTAAAGGATGTCCTGCATCGACGACCAGGTGGACTGTGGCTGTTGTGCTACTGAACAGGCTGCAAAGAAGAGGCTCCATATCCTGACAAACTGATTCGTATGTTTCTCATAAAGATGCCTGGAAAGCTATAGAAGCGGAAGAAAGAAAACCAATTACAACTTGTCACTGTTTTTCCATGTGTCAGAATACTATTTCTTTCCATTGCTTCAAATGTGGTCTTGTTCAGAGAGCCCTGATTTGGGGAAACTGTAAACAAAGTGCTTTGGGATGGAACTCTTTGATGTGTTGGAATGACATTGTTGTCACTGTACTGCCTCCGTATGAAGATTGTCACCATGTGAAGCCTCAAGGAATAAATCCTGAATGTTTGAAATAAAATGGAGCATGTATTCATATCAAAGTGTTCTGCAGTTTTTATGATCAAATCAGTTATAATGATTTTTTAATCAGATCTCCCATAGTGTTGACTTTGGACTGGAATGTTACTAAGCCCCGTTGTTTTGTTGACTTACATTGTTAGAAAGCATGAGGTTTGATATGACATGCCTTCATCCCTTCTCATCCTTCTGATATATCTTCAAAATGTTCTCCAATGAAAAAAGCATGCTTCCACTTGGGTACCATTGGATTTTGTCCTGGGTTCATGTACTGCAAGAGCAGATAAGGGAAACAGAAGTTCAGTTTGGATAGACAGGCTCTAAAGAAGGCACGGGCAAACTTTCTAACTTGAGGGCTGCATGACAGGCCAGAGCAGAGTGGGCAGACTGGGGGATTCTCCCCAAGTCCCCTCCCTGCCCTTTCCTCCTCTTCCTCTTCTCTTTTGGAGGCAGAAAGTGAAGGAAAGACAATAAACGTTTGGATCCCGTAAGGGTTAGCCTTGGTCAAGATGAGATGGTGGACAGAAGAGAAAAAGTGTATCAGTTAGACCCCGTATTGCCTACTCCTGATATATAATTCTAGAGCTGGAAGAGACCTCCAAGGGCCACCCAGTCCAACCCCCTGCCATGCAAGAAGGCGCAATCAAAGCACTCCCGATAGACAGACAGCCTCAGCAGGAAAGCCTCCAGAGAAGGAGACCACCACACTCTGAGGCAGCCTGTGACACTCTCCGACACCTCTTACTCCCAAGAAGTTCGTCCTAATCTTTTCAGTCAAATCTCTTTCCCTGCCATTTACAATCATTGCTCCCTTGTGCCCTGGTCTCTAGAGCAGCAGAAAGTCAGTTTTCCCTCTCCTCAATGGGACACGCTTCTAAATCTTGAAAATGGTTCTAATGTTCCCTCTCTACCTTCTCTTTTCCTAACTAAACATCCCCCAGGAGGAAAGGAGGAAGGAAGAAGAGAAGGAAGGAGGGAAGAAATGGAAGGAAGAATGTATGTGAATGGAGAGTGGGAAGGGAGAAGGAAGGAAAGACAAAAGGGATGGAAGGAAGGAGAAAGAGAGGGAAGGAAGGAAGAAAGGGAGGTAAGGAAGGAAGGGATGGATGGGAGGAAAGAAAGATGGAAGGAAGGATAGATGGTGAGAAAGAGGACCTGAGAAAAGAGCCCAAGGGTCTGCATCAGGCCCCCAGGCCTGGGTTACCCCATGCCTACTCTAAAGCCTTTTTAAAATGCAAATTCTTGCCTATTGGGCTGACTGATGCTGAAGGGGACAGAATTACTGGAGAACCACACGTTTCCCCAGATGTGTTCTAGAGCAGGGCTTTCCTTCCACCTAAAAAAGTTGCATGATGTGTTCCGCATACCTGTATCGTACCTGCTCTGTATTTAATTGTTGCCTGCAGTACTGCAAAAGCAAAAGCAAAAGCTGAGATAATGTGAAATTGTAGCCACCAGATGGCAGCAACAAGCTACTTTCACTTAAAAATTCATAGCATGAGGGTATTTCTAGTTCAGCAATCAGGTTAAGCAACTTCTTTGTAGATTTCTTTGGTCAGAATGGGATCTTGACTTCAAAAGCTTGTGAGGAGAAGTGGTAATTTATTTTATGCCCTAATCACTGTAACAGTGAAGTATAACACTATGCGGTCTGCCCTAAAAATAATGAGAATGATTTATTTCATTTTTATTTAACATGCACACAATTACAATTAATCCCCTTGAAAATTGGCTCCTTGTGATTGAATACAATGGTTCCAGCATTGTCACCCCTCTGCATCTCAGCAGAGGAAGTCTTCACTTGAGATGCTCTTCAGAGCCCTCATCATAGCTGCCTGGACATTTCAAAATGACGTCATTTGAGGTGAATTTTGAGTTTACAGAAAGAAATCACATGGAGCCAAGTCAGGGCTGTACCATGGGTGGGCGGGCATTCAGAACAGTCTTCACGCCAATAGACACAGTGTTCTTGCTTCTTTATGTTGAAGGATGCTGCTCCAGATCCCTCTGCATTTTTGCTTGTGACAAGACACAAAAGGTTTTTTTTTACAGCTATTAATAAAACAAATATGCGGTTTGTCCCAAAAGTAATGAGAATTGGTTTTTCAGGCTGTATGGCCAAGTTCCAGAAGCATTCCCTCCTGATGTTTTGCTTACATCTATGGCAGGTATCTTCAGATTATGAGGTCTGTTGGAAACTAGGAAAAGGGTTTATATATCTGTTGAATGTCCAGGGTGGGAAAAAGAGCTCTTGTCTGTTGGAGGTACATGTGAATGTTTCAATTGGCCACCTTGATTGGCATTTAATGGCCTAGCAGTTTCAAGGTGTGGCTTCTTACTGCCTGGGAGAATCCTTTGTAGTGTTGGAGTTCAGACTGTGATTGTGTCTAATGATCAGGGCACTCTGGATGTTGGGAATGATAATGCTGTTTCTAATGATGTTGGGGGTGACAATGACAATGCTGTATTGTCGAAGGCTTTCATGGCTGGAATCACTAGGTTCTTGTGGGTTTTTTCAGGGCTATATGGCCATGTTCTAGAGGCATTTTCTCCTGATGTTTCGCCTGCATCTATGGCAAGCATCCTCAGAGGTAGTGAGGTCTGTTGGAATTAGGAAAATGGGTTTAAATCTGTGGAATGACTGGGGTGGGGCAAAGAGTTCTTCTCTGCTGGAGCTGGGTGTGAATATTTCAACTGACCACTTTCATTAGCATTTGAAGGCCTGGCTGAGCCTGGGGGAACCTTTTGTTGAGAGGTGTTAAGATGTGTCTGGTTGTTTCCTCTCTGCTGTTTTGCTGTTGTAATTTTAGAGTTTTTTAATACTGGTAGCCAGATTTTGTTCATTTTCATGGTTTCCTCCTTTCTGTTGAAATTGTCCACATGCTTGTGGATTTCAATGGCTTCTCTGTGTAGTCTGACATGGTGGTTGTTGGAGAATGCTGTTTCTAATCATGGGAGTGCTTTAGATGCAGAGAATGACAATGGGATTCCTGTTCAATGTGTCTTTGCTGATGGGAATGTTCCTGAAGAATTGGGGGATGGTGGGATGGTCTCTGGAAGAGGGCCTGAATTGCTACCAGAGAATTCCCAGGGCTTTGAGCCGAGAAAAGTTCGGTACCTGGCCCAGCTGCAGAAATGAATGAGCCAGAAGATAGAAGGCATGTTTTCAGACAGAACAGAATAACACAACAATCTCTCAGGTGCTCTGCCAGGTTGAGAGAGAAATTGATAATAGAGTCTAGGCTGAAAAGAAAAAAGTTTCTGGCAGGGATTTAGAGTAGATTAAAGGATAAAAGTGCCAAGTACAGAATCTGTGGTCAGACGAAGCAATGTTGGAAATGGATCAAGACATAGTGGCAAACCTTGCAGTCTTGCCTTGGATCGATTCAAGTTAGACCTCGATTGATTTCATGATTTGGAGTTTTACCATGGAAGTATCTGTGTGGATTTTCATGTACTTTGATGGATTTAGTTCCTGGATTATTTGTTCCTGCTTATCTTTCTACCTACTTGGATTTACCTATTTCTTTGGAGTGCTTTTACTGCTAATACTTTTAAAAATTATCTTCAATAAACTGCTTGCATTTGTTACGCAGCTGTGCAGTGTTTTTAAGTCAGAGGGCTTCTTCCTGGCCTGGAGTGCAACATGTTGAGAGGTGATTAGCTGTCCCTGATTGTTTTTTGTCTGGAGTTCCCCAGTTTTTTAGAATTACTGTATTTTTTCCAGTTTACATAAAAAGGGGGAGAACAATGAGTTATAGTGAAGTAGGAAAGGAGGAAAACAAGCAGTGGGGAAAGAGAGGAGAAGAAAAAAAGGGAGTTCCCCAGTTTTTTGAGTGTTGTTTTTTTATTTACCATTATGATTTTAGAGTTTTTTTTAATAGTGGTAGCCAGATTTTGTTCATTTTCATAGTTTCTTTCTTCTTGTTGAAATTGTCCACATGCTTGTGGATTTCTAGGCTTCTCTGTGTAGCCTGACATGAGTGGTCCAGCATGTCTGTGTTCTCAAATAATATGCTGTGTCCAGGTTGGTTCATCAGGTGCTCTGCTATGGCTGACTTCTCTGGTTGAAGTAGTCTGCAGTGCCTTTCATGTTCCTTGATTCGTGTTTGGGCAATGTTACGTTTGGTGGTCCCTATGTAGACTTGTCCACAGCTGCATGGTATATGGTAGACTCCTGCAAAAGTGAGAGGATCCCTCTTGTCCTTTGCTGAATGTAGTATAATGAGAATGATTTTTTTATTTGTGTAGTGTAGAAGTGTCAGGAAAGGAAGGAAGTAGTTTAGCCAGGTGGAGAGGAACCCAGGCATACAATTTGAGCTTCCTCAGTTGAATCTGCCCCTTTGTAGCAGTGAGTATGTTAGCCAAGTGAGTAGTAGTGTATTAAACATCAAGATCTGTGCATGTAAGCGACTATAATTCTTGACACAGCAGTCAAATAGAACAAAATCTTTTCCTCATTCTTCCCCAACTCGAAATATATTATATTCAGTAGATAATATTCGGGTTTTATGTCATATTTCACCTTAATAAATTTTTGGGTGTGTTTATGAATTTATTTATTATTATTTATTAACTTTATTTGTACCCCGCTAGCATCTCCCGCAGGACTCGATGCGGCTTACACAGGCCGAAGCCTCAACACAATACAATAAAAGCATAGCACAATAATAAACAAGCAAATCAAACAGTTAAGCAAAATAACAACAATAACTACAACAAGACACTATTAAAACTGGTTCGGCCGGCGCAATGGGGTACAGGGGTTAAAATGCTGAAATGGCAGGAGGAACGTAGCAGTAAAGGTGCTGTGTGCAGTAACATCGGTTGTGCTAAAGTGCTTCTAGAACTTGGGATGGGGATTCCTAATCTGAGAAGGCACATCGGAACAGCCAGGTTTTTAGGTTCCTTCTGAAAACTGCTAAAGTAGGGGCCTGTCGGAGATCTTTTGGAAGGGCATTCCAAAGTCGGGGGGCCGCCACAGAGAAGGCCCTGTCCCGTGTCCCCACCAAGCAC